CCTTCAGTTAGTGAAGTGGCCTATGGTTATGTTTCTGGGGGATTGTTAGGTCGCATTGGTCATTACTCTCCCCCGGAAGTTGACTTTGAAGATGAGGAGTCAGTAGAGGGGCCCTTCCGGACCCAGATTCGCCTCACTAAGCACCCCCACTTTGTGGCAGTAGTGGGGGCACCCCCTGATGATTCTGGTAGCCCGTTGTCATTTGTGGGTTTGACCCCAGAGGAAATGAGTTTATGCCAGTCAAGGGACTCGGAAATCTGTCAATTTCTTGACTGGTTGGACGATGATGTAGCGCCAGAGGAAGGTGTGATGTTCCTTGCGAGTCCCGCAGTTAAAAACTATTGGCTCCATAGGGCGGCCTTCACCTTAGACCAGGACAAGGTCCTTTGGAAAGAGGTGGGGGAGGGGAGTGTGAAGACTAGACTTTTAGTTGTCCCTGAGGAGTTGAGGAAGGAGGTTCTACGCCTGTGCCATGACGTCCCAGCAGCAGGCCACCAGGGCATTGATAGAACCAAGGCACGCCTGCGTGATAGATTCTTCTGGTATGGCATGATGAGGGAGGCAGAACAGTTCGTGAGCACCTGTGGTCCTTGCAGCAGGAATAAGCATCCTCAGCGCCATGCCCGGGCAGAGATGATTAAGTACCATGCTGGCGCCCCTATGGAGAGAGTCCATCTTGATTTTCTGGGGCCCCTACCCCGGACTAAACAGGGTAATGAATATGTACTTGTCATGGTCGATCAGTTCACTAAGTGGGTGGAGTGTGTCCCTCTGCCCACTCAGACTGCTGAGGCAACAGCTACTGCTGCGGTCGATCAGCTCTTTGCTCGCTTTGGCTGTCCCTTCCAGATCTTCACCGACCAGGGTAGGAACTTTGAAAGTAAGCTTTTCACAGCAGTGTGCGACTTGTTGCAGATCCATAAGGCCCGCACCACTCCTTATCGCCCCTCGGCCAATGGCCAGGTAGAAAGGTATAATAGAACCCTGATGGATGCTGTGCGTTGTTATATAGACAAGGCTCAGAACTGCTGGGATGAACATCTCGCCCAGATAGCAGGTGCCTTGCGCTCTGCAGTCAACCGGAACACAGGCTTTACTGCGAACAAGCTGATGTTGGGCAGGGAAGTGAATATCCCTGCTGATCTGATGTATGCCCCACCTCAGAGGGACCCAGCTGTTGACCTTGAGGGCTACGTAGTGAATTTGGAGAAGGCCATCCAGTCAGCTCATGAGACAGCCCGGAGACGTCTCCGGACCTCAGAGGAGCGAATGAAGAGGGACTATGACTTGAAGGTCTGTGCCAGAACTTACAATGAGGGTGACCTAGTTTACGTCCTTGACACAGCTACTGTCAAGGGGAAATGCAGGAAGTTGAGCCCTTCCTGGAAGGGACCAGGTATTATCTTGAAAAAGTTGAGCTCCCACCTTTACCGAGTGAAGACCAAGCTCACAGTGATGGTTGTCAACCATGATCGCCTGAAAAAGTGTGTAGATCGGGACATACCATTATGGCTGTCCCGGTATCAGGAGAAGTTCAGAGCCCAGTCCCAGGAAGGTGGTGAGTTAAGTAGTGTCCCATTGTCCCCAGGGGAGAAAACTCCCTCGAGTGAGGTCCCTGGACCTTCCCAGTTGAGCTCGTCCTCAGACAGCCCTCCCCGTATACCGAGAAAACGGGGGCGCCCACGTAAAGTGCGGTCGCCCTCTACCGAGTCTGCTTAGTCGTCAGATGGGGATCTGACAGACTCTGAGCTCTATTGTTTCTGTCGTAGACCGGACGATGGGGGGCTAATGATTCAATGCGACCAGTGTGACGGTTGGTTCCACGGGGTTTGTGTGGGGGTCACTTCAGAGGAGGCTTCCTCCCTGGATCAGTATATCTGCCCAGATTGTATGAGGGAACCCCGGGTAGCAAACATTGGTGTTGTTCTGGAGCCCCCATCTTGGCCCAGGGTAAGACGGGTTACCCTGGCGGTTTTACAGGAATGGTGAGTGGGTCAGCTGGTTGTGACCCGCTCTAGCGTACCCTGCTAGGCCAGACTCTTTACCTGGGAATTATCCCGGACTCTAGGGCCTGGAAGTGTTTAATTGGGAGCGATCCCGGACCCCTTTCCCAGGAGTTATCTTGGGTGTGTTTTGTCTGGGGCTCACCCCGGCACTAGTCGTCCCTGGGCAGTCCGCCCGGGTGGGCGTTAACAGCGCCCCATCGTTGGAGATGGTTCCGGACCCTCCCTCGCACTGTGGACTCCCGCCTTTCAAAGAAAACGGGGGGGAGTGTAGTATCTGTGCGACTGTCCCGTGGTACGACTTACTGACGAGGCTACGTCAGATGGCGGGACAGTCGCACGGATCTCTTTCAGCGCCAAGATGTCAGACGGACAAGACGTGCTGCAGAGACGGTGAGTCAGCCCGGGCCAGAACCCACTACAGAGTATATTGTATATTTGTATATAGTGATAATAAATATTGTTATAAGTACTACACCCCCCCGGGTAGTTACTTTACTTGGTTCAATTTGTTCCTGCTGGCCCTGATAATGACCTCGTTCTATCGGAAGCCATTTAAATAGACTTCAAACTTTGGTTTTTCAAAACAACTCTCAGGTAATTGTTTACACCTGCACTGATAATTCACTGGTACACGGCCTACTGAACATAGCCATCGGCATTGTTTACGTACTATATCCAATCTTGGGTTGTAACTGGAAGTTAAAAGTGCAACCTAATTTATGAACCAAATCTGGAAATCAGGAGATTTTCGGGTTGTTCGGCAAAAATCGGGTGAAAAGCATGACCCACCGTGTCATAAAAAATTATCGGGTTAAGGGTGGAAAAATCGGGTGTAACCCGACGAAATCGGGTGAGTTGGCACATTTCCAAGAGTCCGAAGGACCCGCAACTTTCACTTCAAAGTGCCAAGTGCATGGCAAAGGAACAGTTGCTACTCATTTTTTATCGACTTACGTCAGTCGTGGCTGAGATTCGAACTCACGACCTCCCGATCACGGAGCATGCACTCTACCGACTGAGCTACCTTGAACAGTCTAAAGCTAAGAGAAAATAAGCCTTTGGGAATTTTATTTCAAGAGATGACATACATTTCCTATTATAGAATTTTTGCTGTCTAATAATCATATTCTGGATGAAAGAATACCCAATTGAAAGATATTATTAATCACATATTACTTGAGATTCTGCCCAGAATATAACCTATAAAATCTAATTATTATCCAGATTCAATAAAAGGTGGTGCAATTGATATGATATATTCCATGAAAAGATATAAGTTTACCAGTACTAGTATTCAGGTGTGAAAAAAAAAAAAATTAGTCGATTGATAAATCTGTCTTTAATTTACTTGCTCTACCATGTCTACCAGTTGCAAAGTGTAGCAAGCTAAGTGGTAGAGCTTGTCGAAGCCACAAGAGGTTGGGGCATGGACCTCCTCCCCCCTTTTCCATTTTTTTTTTCTTGATAAATCTGGGTTGACATCTTTTTCATATTTTTGTATTCTAATATGTTATTGATAAATGTAACTCTTTTGTCTCAATAAGCTGTTTTTAAATATCTTGTTTTCTACTGATACATAAAAAGAAAGAAACAATTTAATATTCACTTTTATTTACAGATTGTGCCCTCCATAACTTACATGTATCCAAGTTTATAAAATTTTCTTAGCTCTTGAAGATCCCTGTTTTCTATTTGTTGTTGGGAGTTTGTTGTTACTAATTTATAAAGGAAAAAAAGTTATCGGGAAACAGAGCAAAAAAAAGTATTGATTTCTCAGAAAAAGGTGGGGGCAGCCCCCTTGCCCCCTTCCACTCACATCATGTGTTTATGTACAAACGTATAACTTGTACAAATAAGAACAAAATTTGATTATCAAGTTCAGTAAAATATACTCGAATGTATCATTCAAATTACTCTTTTGACATGTTCCCTTAAGTGTTAAGTCTGCAGTTCAAAGTCTGCATGTTGTCAGGTGTCTGAGATTCCGAAAATGTTCAAGAGTGGGAAAGGGCGCTATACCTCTTTGCATACTTCATAAAACAAGCGCCTATGAAAAGCACTACAGTAAAGCACAAACATGTTTAATGAATTGACGCTTACAATCCCAGTGACTTTAAATATATTATAAACTTAATACATATATGTAAAATAAATTATAACAAAGCATACTCATCTGTTTCTTACACTTCGATCAATATACATGTAAGCATGCTTCACTTTAGTTATAAATTTGCATCTAAAGAAGGTATTTCCCCTTCAGAACAAGTTATAAAAAAGCTTAAAGTCAGCATGATGAAAAAAATCACTTATGGAACAATGATAAATAACTAAGGATTTAAGATATTTATTTTTTTTGTATACATGTGTTAGTATGGTAGTGTATGATACACAGCTTCTTTAATACTGGCTTGGGCTAGTGGGTTAAACTTGTACCTCAATTGCAAGGACTAACCTAGGGGGCGACTGAGGCGAAATAGTTGCTTTTGAGCTCCAAACTTCGCCTGATTTCTGCTTTTTCCTAGCCATAGTGCTCAGGTGAGCGATGTGGCCCCTGGGCCTCTTGTTTTTAAAAAGTTTAATAATGATCAATGTGTGCCACGTGCGTCAAGAAGTCTCCCTAGAATTTAAAACTTCTCCCTTATACATTTCTCTGAGGGAGAAGTGAAGTCTCCCTAAATTTTGGGTCTAGGTTGGTCCCTGAATTGATAGAACACTGGACTGACATGCCAGAGATGGGTTCAAATTCAGTCATTCAAAGACACAAAATTATGTCTCTAGACTAGTAGTGTAATAATCTTATATATAAATATTGCTTTTTTAAAGGATAGAGGTGGGATGATATACTGATAAACCAATACATACCAATATTTTCTGCTAAGATACGGTTTATGATATATGCATTGAAATATCAGTATGAAACGATACATGAACAACCTATCAAAAAATTGAAAATGGCCTCTTTTACCAAGTGAAGAGATGATATTGGTATTGTAAACGCTCTTTACAACTAATGAGTCATAAATAAGAGGAAAAACATTTTCACTCTTGAGCATCCTCGGAAGACGGTTAGGTACTGTACATAGAAAAGTTCAGTTTGTAAAGCATCAGAAAGTATCGTTTCCACAACAGTTAATATTATTAGTTAGTGTCCATCTGCACTAACAGCCAGTAACAAAGCATGGATTCTCAAATTTCATTAAAAAGAATTTGAAATTTTGAAACAAATTGGAAATTACCCTTACTGGAGAAATTGGGAAAATCAGCCGGGGTCTGGGGGCCACTGTCACTGGACAAGCCCTGCTGGGGGGCCCAATTTCAGCATTTTAATGACCAGTTAGAGTGCATAAAATAGCAAAGTAAACTATTTTTCACATAGTCTGAAAATTTTTATAAAAGAAAAAAAAAATATTTGTGCTTTTCATTATTGTAAGGGGAATTTTGTACTCATCAAAAGTGGAAAATGGGATATTAAGGGAAATTTTCTCTTGAGGACAAATAAGTCCGAATATCGGTAGTAAATTTGCCCTAGAATATTGTTTTGTAAATTTTTAGTCAACGAAATTGATGAACTTCAAGTATCAGTTTCAAAGCACATTTGATTTGGTTTGTTTATTGTTTAACGTCCTTCTGGAGAATTTTTCACTCATATGGAGACGCCACCACTTGCCGGTGGAGAGCTGCAAATTTTGACCTATGCTTGGCACTCATTGCCATTGAGCAGTGAGGGATCTTTTTCGTGCCAGCACCTACTGCGACACGGGACCTTGGTTTATACGGTCTCATCTAAAGGACCGGTTTCCACATCCCACAGTGGGATTCGAACCTCCGAAGTAAGGATCAACTCCTTACTCCGCAACTCTAGAGCAAACGCTCTAACCACTGTGCCACGTGGGCGACCACATTTGGTTTGATATAGAGTGATACAGAATCTTGATTTATTGTCAAGTAGACAAATATTGAAATAAAATACTAAATTTTTGTGTCACCTGCAGAGCAGAGCGGCACTAAGAGATCACTTTACCAGGTGTCTGTCTGTCCGTCTGTCACACCCTATATCTCAAGATCTGTAAGAGGTATGGATTTGATATTTTGCACATATATTGCTTGGCACTATGGCTTTTGTAAATTACCATGGTTACCGACCTCTTGACCTTTGACTTACTTTTCAAAATAGTTCATAGGGCCGATTTACAGCATATTTTTGACATTTAAAAGGTATTTCTATGCCATTTAGCATGTGCACTGTTTGTTGTAACACAATATGAAAAATACCAGCATTACAATCCACTTGACCTTGACCTTTGACCTACTTTACAAAAAATACCTTGGGAGTTTAGGTTAACTTATGACTTTTGAAATTGAGAGACAGGATTTTGATATTTAGCATTTATACATGTTTATGAGCTCATGATACTGTAATTTGAATCTGTATGATATTCAGTTACCACATAAACTTATATTTTAATAAAATATTATGCAAATACATAGGGACAAGGTATTCCACAATGGATCATGTTAAGACTGACAATTGCTGTAAAGATAGACTGAAATCTCTTTTGGAGGATTATTGGAAACACATTTAGCTCATGATAAGTACTTTGAAACTGTATGAAATTCAGTTAACTCACATGTAAATACAATGAAAATACATTGGGATCAGTATTCCACAATGGATTGTGTAGAGTGACAATTGCAGTAAGGACAGGCTGAAATCTGTTTTTGAGGATTAATTGTTGGAAATATGTATTAATAAAATGATAAAAAGATATTTCTAATAATTTCAATTAAATTATTCATTTGAGGCCAGGCTTAGAGAACCATATATTCTTTGATTGTCAGATTCTATCGGAGTCTTATACTATCTGTGGGTGCAGTTTTTCTTTGCAGGGAAATGCATGAACTATCATGCTAAAAGAAAATAAAAAAACTGGCCAATTTTAGATTTTTTTGTTCACCTTTAAGGAAGCTACAGAGTAGGCGACACATGTTCCTTTAAACGCTCTAGTTTTAATTTTATAGTTTTCATATATATTTATTATAATATCGAGATATTTATCATATCATGTTATATGTATTGAGATACGTATTGTATCACAAGATCTACCTGTTTTGTCCCACCCCTTTAAAAATGTTTGCTTTTGATGAACTTTATTGCTTTGACGATGATCATTCATCTTTTTTGTACTGTTTTCGCTTTTCACGTTTTTTTTAAAAAATACATGACGTACTGGTATAATTTAAAGATTGTGACCCCTTGAACTTTTGAGATTTAAACCTTCTCTAAAAAAAAAAAATTGAAATATTGTTCATGTCAATAACAAATAAAGTTGCAGACTGGTGCAAATTTAAGTATCATGTACACCATGTACACAACAGGTCTTCCCGGTTCTTCTTTTCTTCTTCAATGAGTACCTGTATTATTCAATCCCAGATGTTGGACTTGATCTCGCCCCTCCAGAAAAAGCAAAATGTCTTTTAAAACTATCTAAGTTGATGCAAAGATTACAAATTATTTCCTAAGTGTGTCGAGACAGGGTTAGTTGTATTGAGAGCTCTGACAAATTATATTTGCTATTCGGGTCAAAAATCGGTGTTGAGTGATGTAGCTCATAGACTTTTCTTGTAATCATGGGTAAAAATATACACATATACTAATGAAAAACTATAATTGCAGATTTTGGAGTTTTCACAACAAGAGCAAACTTAAGGCAACTTTCTTCTTGAAAATGTTGGAGACTGAGATGCAGATGTTAACAGACAACTCTGCATGGAATTGGAGGATAAGAGTATATAACTGAATGCATTCTGTCTGGATTTCTGTATGGTGACAGAAGGCTTTGGTAAGTCAAGATAACTGTAAAAGATCATAAGTAAACAATTATCATTTTGAAATCTATGCTTCCATTACCATAAAAAATATTCACTGACCTCATTTGCTGACCTCATGGTTATTCAGTCTTTGAAATGTACTTTTTTGTTTTCAATTGATCTTACTTGAAAGGAAACTCAAATTAACTTTGTGCTAATTTTAGCCCTTTTTTTTTCAAATGAAACCCTAAGTCACTCAGATAAACTATTTGCTATCTGCTTTTGTCCATCCTTCTTTAACATTTGAATATTTTTAGCTTCTTCTCTGGAACCGATGAACCAATTTCAACCAATTTTAGCAAAGAATATCTAGTATGATGAAGGGGAACAAAAATTGTGAATTTCATTATCTCTGCCACCCCCTCCTTTTGGGCCTGAGGGATGGGGCTAAACCCATTAAAACTATTGCAATCTTTAAAAATCTTCTTTTTTTTTACTCCTGGAAATCAAGCAGTTGAATTGCTGCCATGGTTGAATAAGCATTAAGCCCTCTATCAAAATTTTGAAATTCATTGCCCCAAGGTCAGGGGTTCCGGTGTAAGGGTGGCACTCCATTGATTAAATATGGTGAAAATGCATTATTTCTTTGAAAATATTCTTCTCTGCTCCTGGATATGAAGCAGGCAGACTAAGTACAAAGTTATGATGAGCACCTCTTCCAAAATTATTAATTTCATGACCCTTGGATAGAGGGTTCTAGTGTTAGGATGGGGCTTTAATGATAATTACATGTATAGTTAAAATGCATTAATTCATTTGAAAATCTTCTTCTCTGTCTCTGATTATTAAGGGGAAAAAAACTAAGTGCAGGTTATAATGAGCAAGGGTGCTTCTTCAACAATTGTGAATTTCATAGCCCCCAGGATGAGAGGTTGGAGGGTGTGGTCTATGGATAATACAGGTATAGATTTCTTTGAAAATTTCTTTTCTGCTCCTGAGTATTGAAAACAATACTAAGTTCATGGTTATGATGAATAAAGTCGCCTTTTCCATAATTTTGAATTTTATTCCCCAAGGGGTCAGTAGTTTTGGTGTTAGGGCAGGGCCCTATTGGTTATATAGTGAAAATGCATTATTTCTCTGAAAATCTTCCTTCTTTGATCATGTGCATCAGGTTACCAATCTTACTACATAGTTATGATGAGTAAGAGTGCCTCTTTTAAAATTGTGAATATCATGGCCACTTGTTCTGGTGCTAAGGCATGGTTCTATTGAATATACACTGAAAATGCATTAATTTTTTGAAAATCTTTCTTGCTTCTGGGTATAAAGCAGATAAACTGAGCCCATGGTTATATTAATCAAGGGTACCTCTTCCAGATTTGTGAAATTTGGGTCAGCAGCTCTTATGTTTGAAGATGGGGTGGTCTATTGAATTTGTATAGTGAAAATTCTTTAATATTTTTGAAAATCTTTTCTTCTCCTGGGTATTAAATAGACAGACTATAAAATGGCAAAGTGCCTCTTCCTGAGTTCCAAAATTATGAATTTCATGGCCCCAGGGTCAGGTTTTTTTTTTCTTTCTCTTGCCCTTAGATTTAGTTTTGCTCAAATCATGACCCCTGGGGGCTGAGTAGGGCAGGACCACAATGGGAAATCAAAGTTTTACAGAGGAATATATTGCAAAAGATCTTTAAACATCTTCTTGAGAACAGCAAAACCATGAGTAGTCATATTCATATGGGAGCATCCTCAGGTAGCACAGATTTAAGTTTGTTCAAATTGTGAAACCCTGAGGTAACAGTTGAGTGGGGCCACAATTTTGGATCAAAGATTTACATAGAAAAACATAGGAAAAAGCTACAAATAAAAATGAGCTGTTCAAGAAAATAAAGCCTTGGGTTAGTCATATTCATATGGTTGCATCTTCAGGTAGATTCAAGTTTTTTTTTTTTTTTTTTTTTCAATCATGATCCCTTGGGGTATAGAAATGGCGTAAAAAACCTATGCAGAGTGTTTAAATGCCTTTTAAATTTAATTCTGATGTAGAATTTTTTTTATTTATCAATCAGACATTCAGCTGTATAAATACACTGTGGTGTACATACTGATGCATCAGTTGAAAAAAGTTTTCTCTCAGTATGTCATTTTTAGATCACCTGAGCTGAAAGCTCAAGTGAGCTTTCCTGATCACCTGTTGTCCGTCTGTCCATCTGTCCGTCTGTGAACTTTTCACATTTTCAACTTCTTCTCAAGAACCACTGGGCCAATTTTAACCAAAATTGGTACAAAGCATCCTTGGGTGAAGGGGAGTTTAAATTGTGAAAATAACTGACCAAGCCCCCTTCCAAGGGGAGATAATTAAGAGAAGACAAAAATAGGGTGGGTCATTAAAAAATCTTCACAAGAACCACTGAACCAGAAAAAAACAAAACTTATGTGGAAGCATCCTTGGGTAGTGTAGATTCAAAATTGTTCAAATCATGACCCCCGGGGGTAGGGCAGGGCCACAATAGGGAATCCAATTTTTACATTGAAATATGTAGAAAATATCTTTAAAAATCTTCTTCTCAAGAACCACTTTGCCAGAAAAGCTGAAACTTATGAGGAAGCATCCATGGGTAGTGTAGATTCTAAATTGTACAGATCATGACCCCCAGGGGTAGGGTGGGGCCACAAAAATGAATCCAAGTTTTACATTGAAATATGTAGAAAATTTCTTTAAAATCTTCTTTTCAAGAATCACTTGCACAGAAAAGTTGAAACATATGTGGAAGCATCCTGGAGTAGTGTAAATTCTAAATTGTTCAAATCATGACCCCCAGGGATAGAACGGGGCCACAAAAGGGAATCTAAGTTTTACATTGAAATATGTAGAAAATATCTTTAAAAATCTTATTTTCAAGAACCAATGGGCAAAAAAGCTGATTCTAAATTGTTCAAATCATGACCCCTTGGGGTAGGGCGGGGCCACAATAGGTATTACAAGGGGGAAAATCAGATGAAGAAAAGCAAGGCCAAAATAACTCAGGTCAGCGTTGTGGCCCATGGGCCTCTTATCAATTTTACCCTAAAAAAATAAGCACTATGATGTTACCCATTGCACAATATGTTGTTAATGATGAGTATGATGAGGGTAACATTACTACTGACTTGTTAAATGCATTAATAAATTCCAAGGGTTTCGTGATTCAGTCATTCAGAACAGATCACTTTAACCTCCGACTTACTTCAGCCAAAATTCTTTGTGAAGATATAACCATGTTGATAAATATTGAATTATCAGAAAATTTTACAATATGTACTAATAAATGATTGATTATAATTGAGAGTAATCAATTGGTTTAAGTTAAGTCCATCAATGATTAAATTAACACCTATACCCCTATGATTTATAACTTTTACCTCTCTTTAATCTACTTTTCAGTCTATGCGAAAGACATCAGACCGTCGAACCTGACCGATGTGCAGTGCTTCTGGCCTGATGTGTCAATTTTTACACCGGACCGGAATGTCTGATGTCTCGGTGTCCAGTTTTGAGCTTAACTATTTCGACGCAGTCATTTCAATGTTTTTTTTTTTATTAGTAAAAACTGTCGTACAATTCCAAATACGTAATTAAATGTCATTAAAACTGCATGGACTCTACAGAACTATGTGGGAGCAATCCCTGGTAAAAGAAAAGCTGTTAGGCCTACTCAAGAGGTTTTTTGGTCTGACAAAATTTGGTTCAGTCCTTTGTATTCATTGCATTAATTAAAAATTACACAGGACTGAATGTCCAGTGTGGTCCAAAAAACTTTCGCATAGACTGACTTATAAGTTCTGAATTGAAAACAGTTTTATGCAAGAAAAAATAAAAATTTGCAATAAAATTCTAATTTAAATCTAGTTAAGGAAAACTCTCTATGCAGCATATCAAACATGTTCAATGTGCATTGATTTAGAGGACTTAATTATGAATATTATTTAGTTTCAGTACATTTATATTATGATTGATTCTTTAAATTTTAGATTTGGTAGATATTTATTGAAAAAAATAATTTTTATCTTTTATGTAAATCTATAGTAAAATAATGCATTGCTCCAAAAGCCAGTAGTGATAAATATTCCTCACAAGTCAAAAGTGATAAATATTCCCCACAAGTCAACAATGATAATAAATATTCCCCACAAGCCAACAATGATAAATATTCCCCACATGTCAACAATGATAAATAGTGATAAATATTCCCCATAAGTCAACAGTGATAAATATTCCCCACAAGTCAGCAGTGATAAAAAGTGAAAAATATTCCCCACAAGTCAGCAGCACAGATACTTATGGATAGGAACCCCCCCCCCTCCCTTAGGACTTGGACTTTTTTTCAGAAATTATATTTATTACACTTATTTATCATGTGTACCATTGGAATAAATCTGTAAAACCCTAGAATAATCATTCCACACAAAAAATACCCCACTATTCATTATAAGAGAGAAAGGTATGCCTCTTTCTGTTTACATTGTTCCCCCTGCTGGTCTTTCTGGGTTTAAAAACATTTATTGGATGTATGGTGGTCGAAAGTGTTAAAGTAGCCCCCCCCCCCCAATTTTTTTGGAGTTATTAAATTGTATGTTACAAAGCAAGCAAAGATGCAGTATTATTGGAGGTAGATTAGGTCAGATTATGAGGTCACAATTTTTCATGGGGATAAAAAAGTTTCTGAAGAACAGCAGAGCTTAAATGACTCAAGTGAGCACTGTTGTACATTTGACATCTTTTAGAGCATCTTTATATTTAAGATTAGACTTAAGTTTATAGGAAGCTATTGATCTTAGGTTGAGTTGACTTCTTTTTCTCTTTGAAGATAATCAAGACAATCAAGAATTGGAGTGGCTAAGAATCAGATGGAGACCAAATGTCAGTTCACATGGAATACCAGGGTTTGCAAAGGAGGACATTGGAACTGGCTTAAGTATTCAAATTTCTGATGGCAGTTGATGACAGAAGATGTCATACTTAGGGAAACATTAGATTAAATTACTTTGAATGGTAAGACTTGGTTATTATACCCTGTAAAGTTCAGTACAAACAAGATATACTGTAAACCAACTTTGACTTGCCTGAAAGAAAGATCTGCAATTTTCGCAACCTTCATTACTTCTCATTACAAACCAATCATAAGTTGTGACAGTGTATTATGGTAGAATGTTTCCTTCACTGCAAAAATTAATGCTTACTGTTGCAGATGGATTTCAAGGTAAAGAATCCTGAATAAAAATTGTCGGGAATAATAGTTGGTTTACAGAATACATGATTGTGCAGTTGAACATAGGTATTTTGAACACTGATATCTCGAATACAGTGGATATGTGTGTAATTTTTAAGTCCCAATCACTTATTATATTTAATAAGTATTTAACCGTTAACATCTTGAATCCTCCCGATATCTCCAAGTTTTTCCACAGTTCCAATGATAGTTCGAGATAACAGGGTTTGAGTATCAGGGTTTGACATTTATTTTAACAAGTACTAGACATGTCAGGCTACCTTCCTTAATTTTTACTAACCATAAAATCACTTGCCCTGACCAAACTTCTTTTAATTGCTTACTTTAATTGGTAACTTTTGAAACTATCTCTTATGCGTGTCAAGAATCTGACAGCCATTTTGAGTCTGGTTCATTAATTGGGACATGAAAATTATGAGCCTTGAAGACATTCAACAAACTTTACTAAAATTATTATCCTAAATATTATTAAATACAGAAAGTGTTATTTGGTAAGTATTTATACCATATCAATACGTTTCAGCCCAGACTTGTCTACTACAGCTAAAAAAAATACAGTGCCACCTCGGTATATTGCCCTCCATCATATTGCCACCCTCGCTTATTGCCAGGAATTCTTGAAGAACAGATTTCCCCCTGTATTAATACACCCGTTATAATGCCACCCCTGCTTATTGCCATCTGCCACTGGTTTTGGGAAACAAAAGGTCAAATTATGTAAGAAAAAATCCTTGGTAACAATGCCAATTATCTAGCGTGTGTCGGTAATTTGGACACCACACCCGTGCTTTGACAGTGGTTGCGGTGAAGCGACTTGCTGGACTAGGAATTCAGCTAGATTAAAGATAATTGTTGCATAAAACTCAAAATTAGCAATGTCTTTGGAGTGTGTTTATAAGATAGAAGAATTATTTCATCACAGTAATGGAAACGTAAAGCGAAAGAAAGCGTACAAATTTAGATTACAAAAAAAAGGATTGATCAACAGTCGACCTATTTGATTGTATATCGCCAATTATTGCTTATCATGGATAATGCACAAAACCATAATAAATGCAAAAAATCATTTGCGTCCCCTTAGATTAAGAAGCCATTCAATCAATCAAAAAGGAAACCCCATATCTTTTTTTAGACTACTATAATTCTGCACATGAAAATATTAGGGGTATCGTTAGCCTATCATGGATAATGCACAAAACCATAATAAATGCAAAAAATCATTTGCGTCCCCTTAGATTAAGAAGCCATTCTATCACTCAAAAAGGAAACCCCATATCTTTTTTTAGACTACAGTAACTATAATTCCGCACATGAAAATATTAGGGATATCGTTAGCCCTGAAATTTCCTTTATTTGTCGGGCATATATTGGTTTGATTGATAAATATCAAAACAGAATCGGAAGAGAAGTACACAGGTATTAGCAAACATGAGCATACATGTCTAATTTAACGGGTTGACGTGTTCTGACATGTGACTTACCATTTGTCAGTCATGATGCTTTACCAACTGAACATTTTAACCGATTCAGAAATTCTTGAGACGGTGAAATAATCTACTTTTGATTCAGATGACATTAATGATAATTCTCAAAAACTTTTTTTTATACCAAGAGGCTATAACGGCCACTGACATCTTTGTCATCGGGTTATTAAATTCTTATTCAACATGTGCATGACGAAAGGAAATTGATGTGTTCAATATTCTGATATTTTTATTGCTTTTCATTCAAAATATTGTAAACAAAAAGAAAAAAAAAATAATAATGACTTTTTTTTCAAAAAGAAATGAGAGCTGCCCTTATATCATGTGACATAAATAGATTGTAACGGAAATAAATTACGTAATCTACATGTATTTATTTTGTTTTGATTACCCATTGAATTGTAATTTATGGCAGAATATGCTATATTGCCACCCTCGCTTCAATGCCAAAATCTGTCTTGGACAAAAGTTGGCAATATACTGAGGTAGCACTGTATTATAAAAAAAATTTATGGCTAAACATAATTGTGTTATGAAGGGAATTTCAACTTACAGAGCAATGGTTGTGTTTACATTTGTACAAATAAGATATTTTTTTTTACAATTTTGAATATATTTATTCAAAAGACTGAAATGGAATTTACAGTTATCAACCTGACCAAAAGGTCTAGTTCACATACATTGCACACAACCATACCATTCATTTAACCAAGTTGGTCTGATGTGCCTTAGTGTTAAACCCTGACTGTATTATTTATAGATGGCAGAGTTCTTCATATCAGATTACTGGTTAGCCATTTTTGGGAGACCTGTATCATTACTATAAGGACATTTATAGATAGGTCTATAAATACAATGCATCAGAATACATTTTTATGACATGAATATGGTCAGGACATATAGAGTTTGTCATGTCCGTCTTCCGTTCTTCTGTCCTTCCATTATGCTTTGCATTTAGCACAGTTTAAAGCTCAGTTTCAAAGAAACTATGATAGGATCTTTTTATCAAACTTCATTTGCTGATACATTTGGAGGAGAATTATTCAACTGCATCAACATTTCATGATCATGACCTTTCCTTTGACCTTGACTTACTTTTCTTAAATTAGTGTTTAGCTCAGTTTTAAAGAAACTCAAGATATTTTTTATCAAACTTCATATGCTGATACATAATGAAGTAAGCTATTGAACTGCATCAACCATTTTTTACTTTGACCTTGCCAATTGCCAAAAAATTGCCAATGACCTGCTTGGAAACATTGATATTTTTTTGTTAATTCAGATTTTTCTGCCCCCGCCATAAAATGGCCAGGGGAATATAGTGTTACTCTGTTCTGTCATTCCATCATTATTCACTTCCCGTTCATTATCTCTGCAACAGTTGGACACATTCAACTCAAATTTGACATATGGATATGTCATTTGAAAATGCAGGTCAAGGTCGAATTTGGTTATGGTCCGATGATTTTTGACAGAGTTGTTTGTCTTGAACTTAGAAAAAAATAAGAAATGTTCAGTTTCCACTCTCTTACTTTTGTAGGGATGTATGTATAAGGTTGAAATTGCATGTGCAGGTATTTTTACCAAAAAATACAGGTCAAGTTCAAATTTGGTCATGGTCCAATGATTTTTGACAGAGTTATCTCTCTTGAATTTAGAAAAAATTAAGAAATTTTCAGTTTCTGCTCTCTAACTTTTGTAGGGATGTATGTATAAGGATGAAATTTTTTTACCAGAAAATACATGTCAAGTTTGAATTTAGTTATGTCCCCTGAACTTAGAAAAAAAATCTTTTGTGCAAACAAATTTAAAACTGAAATTGGCATTTGAAACTTATTTAACTGCCTGCAGAGTCATTTGTGGCATTCAACACATCTAGTTCATACAATATATACAATTCAGGACATTTCAAGAAATGTTAAAAATATGACATTTAAGGGGGGGGGGGGGGAGGATTTATATAGCTCTTTTCATGTTGCATTACTAATATACCTTCGGCTGGGCTTTCATGTCCTATGGACATCTTTCTTGTCTTTTCATTCTGTGAGATTTCTAATATTTAAGTTTTTATTATGCTTATCATTTGAATGCCTTCCAAGTTCATGATTTTGTAGTTGGTATTTCACAAATACTCTGTGCCATTTGACAAACTTAGAATACTGCCAAATGCATTTTACATCTCAGGGGGTGAGGGTGTGCAATTACAAAAATTGGCAACTAGTATTTTTTGTTGATAGTTCCTACATTGCTTTAAATGCTCATGACAGATGCTTTCTTTTCAGATATAAAAACATCAAACGACAGGGGAAAAAAGAGGACTGCCTATTTCCGATATATCGATCTCTTCACATAGCAACACCCAAAGCACTACCATCGAAAAATTAAAATCAATATTTAGGAAGAAAAAATGAAGACATTGATCATAAAGAAAAGAAGTAGGAAGAGTTTTGAATATTATGTCAAGTTGTCAACAACACCACAGATCTGGAAATGGATTTTCTTGCCTCATAATATATATTAAGTTCATGTTCATGCATGACTTTTGATATAACTGTGTTCTCTGTATCAAAATTCCTCCATTATGTATACATGTAGAGCAAGGGCAATGCTGCAGCCATCACATCTTGTGTAACACAGCAAAACAACTTTTTATTGTTTGGATTTTAAATGCTTATGATTATACTTAAAATCGCAAGAAAAATGACTGTACCTGTGTAAAGTACAATGCAGCAATATACAAAAAAGATTGTCAAACAATATTTTTGTCTTTGTCATTTGTGTCATACTAGTATACACTTATGTATTGGAGCATGAGAAATCAAAAAAACAAAATAAATAAATAAATAAATAAATAAAAATAAATAAATAAAATATTTCTTGATTTAAAGATGAAGAAAGTATTGGGAAGTCTTGGAAATAGTGTTTGAAAGGTATATATTAACTATGTTGTGTATAAATCTGTACTTCTGTTAAATCAGAGTGCATATTTCTTTAGATAAGGCCAAACAAAAAAATATGTGTGGTTCCGGTTACACTTCCAAAAAAATTAGGGTAGGTAGGTAGGGATTTTTTTTTTTTTTTTTTTTTTAACAAAATGATTTTCTTAATTTTTTCTAAATAATACCTATCACTGCTTTGTAAATGGCATTTAGATGTGGTGTGATAATATACTAGTCAATATTGGTAGGGGACACCTACATGCTAGCTTGCTTTGGATTTAACACTATTAAACACTTGCACTATGTTTTGCAAGGAGGCCGTCATTGCTGAAACTAAAACTTAAACTGGAGCCATTGACGGAAATCGGGGGAAATTCTGGAAAAAATATGAAAATTGCCAAAAAAAAGTTTAGGGTCGGGGGTATAAAATAGGGAAGGTCGGGTAACCGGAACCATACATATTTTTTTATTTGGCCTAACTAAAAGAAGTTAATAGAGCAATTTATCAGGTAATCATCCAATAAGTAATGCATTCATTTCATCTATATTTTGAGAATTTAAAGAATTTTTAAATCAGTGGAAATAATTCCTTATCTTTATACAGTCATGTATGTACAAATGCTTTCATGATGAAATGACTATGCAAAGAATGGAATAAGACAGGTCACTGTCTTGAATTGTTTACTTTATGCATTCATATCCAAGTTGGCCTATGTGGAAGGAGAAGGGTTCATGAAATAGTATCCTTAAGGAGTATTTACAGTACTTTAAAATGTTGAGCAAAATTTCTTTACTTGCATGTTGCCAGACATGATTAATTTATTATGAGTGTGAGGTTACAAGCCGTATATATAATTCTTTTATATGAAAATAATTTTAACTACTAACTTCAATTGTAAATGTCATGTTACCATGACAGTTGTAATTGTCATGATCCCAGCAAGCACTTTGGTGTGCTGAAATGTATCAATAATAAAGAAAAAAAGTGGGAAATTTGTCTTGGGAAAAAAAGGAACATATTACAATGATTATTAAGAAAAAAATAGTATGAAAGAAAGCAAAGGCCATCACTATTATTATGTGAATTAATAATCTTAGCTCTCTGATTGGCTGAGATCCAACATGATAGAAAAAATACAACATGAGCATTAAGTTCATCTGCACGTGACTTTCCAGGTGAAAATATTATATTTATTGCTGTTTTTGATGTCAATACGATGATTTAGACACCCGAGGAGTACATTATTCACTGAGCCCGAATGGCGAGGTGAATATTGAAGGGCGAGGTGAACATTGTACTTCGAAGGTGTCTAAATCATCGTATTGACCTCAAAGACAGCAATAACTGTTTTATTATATGATTATCTATTTTTGGTCCAATGTAGAATAAATAATTCCTTATATTTACCTGGAAATAATTCCTTATATTGACCTGGAAGGTCACGTGCAGGTCAATATAACGTAGCATTTTTCTAACATTGTTGGATCTCGGCCAATCAGAGAGATGGGAATTATTCAATCATATAATAAAAATTTTTAGCTGCAATAATGTAGCCCTCTCCAATATTTTTCATCTGATTTAAAAAAAATATCGGAGAGGGCTACGTTGTTGCAGTTAATGAATTTTGTCTACATTGGACTAAAAAATAAATTGAGAACTTCCTAATTGATAAAATTAGAACTGAAAAGTTATTTCACCCGTAGAGGGAGGGGGGGGGGGCACTTTTTTCTGAACGATGTCTACTATCGGTTTAGTATAAAATGTTCGTGGAAAGGCTTTTTGCTCTCCCCTCTCCCTTTTTGATACAGTATGATATTGTCACAGGCGACATTATGTACCTCCCATAACTCCACATATTGTCATCTGTCGGTATATCTTATTGCAGGCGACAACAAAATTTGCGTACCCTGAATGCACATATTAAGATAATGCTGGTGATAAAGATGATGATACTGATGAGGAAAGTTAAGAAGTCTTGGTAGCAGACAGGTTGTACATAAATGTACATATCTCTTTAATTTGAAATATCTGAAATATCTATCTAAATTGCATCCTACTATTAATTTAACTTTTTAATATTACACTGATATCCAATGCTTTTGAAGATTTAATCAATATCACATACATGTAGCTTCTATGGAGGCAGGTTTATTGAGAAGACTTTTAATCAAAAGGGTCATGGACCACAAGGCTTACTGAGAAACTTTTGGCCTGTTGTTCTACATTAAGATTCCCCCCAATATACACTGTACATGTATTCGGATGTAAATTTCTGATCGCCTTTTGTGACCCAACCCAATATACAGCGGACGTGATTTGATAAAAAAAAAAAATGAATATTTCTAGTCTCTACCATTGGATTTTTCCTCTTTAGTACGGTTCTTTATGGCTTTGCTGTTCTTTTAAAATCTACACCAAGTAAGGAAGCTTCCACACAAGTTTCAGCTTTTTTTTTTTTTTTTTTTTTGGTCTTGTGGTTCTTTTTGTTTTGTTTGTTGTTTAACGTCCCTCTCGAGAAGTTTTCACTCATATGGAGACGCCACCAGTTGCCGGTGGAGAGCTGCAAATTTTGTCCTATACTCGGCACTTACGGCCATTGAGCAGTGAGGGATCTTTTTCGTGCCAGCACCTACTGCGACACGGGACCTCGGTTTATACGGTCTCATCCGAAGGACCGGTCTCCACGTCCCACAGTGGGATACGAACCCGCGACGTAAGGATCAACTCCTTACTTCGCGACTCTAGAGCAGACGCTCTAACCATGTCTTGTGGTTCTTGAAAAGATTTTAATGACCCTACCATATCTTTGGCTTTTCTTGATTATTTTCCACAAAGAGTGATTTAAAAAGTCACTTGAGCATCCGGCTCAGTTGAGCCAAAATTTGGAACCCCCCCCCTCCCCCCCGACCACCACCATAATTATATTGGCACATGTATAAGAATAGCAAAAAATACTATCTAGATACATATTACTACTGAACTCAAAAACTATATATAATGACAACTGACAAAAGAGAATATTCAGGAATTCTGAAATCTTTGTAAATCATAGTCGTGTACACCGATCCTTGACAAAAATTTTTACCACAAATTTTTTTCTCTTTTCTTTTTTGCGAGTAATTCTACTGTCTGTCTGTCCGTCTGTCTCCCTCCGTGCGTGTTTGTGTGTCTTTTTGTCAATCTCTTCACGGCCCCAGTAAATATTCGCTATTATTACACGATTGAATAATTCCTATCTCCCTGATTGGCTGAGATTCAACAAAGTAGAAAAAAAAATGCTACGTTATATTAACATGCATTTGACCTTCCAGGTGAATATAAGGATTTATTTTCTCTACATTGGTCAAAATATACATGTAGATCGGGAAATTGATACCAATAGTTTTGGAAAGCTATGTCACGTGCTACCGACTTCCACTCAGGTGAACATATCATTAGGGAATATATAATTTGGGGTGGGAATGGTTTTGGGGTGGAAGGGACCCCCCCCCCAACACTTTTTTGTGAACGTAAATTTTTACTTTTAATTTAATTAGAATAAAAACGTTCATTGAAAGGCTGGTCCCCAACTAATGGTTCTTAATACCCCACCCCTAACCCCACCAAACCCCAAATAAAATTTGAAGTAAATAGAATTCTATTTTCGTGGGGGCTAATCAAAGATTTTCCCTGATAATGCCCCTATTGTCCCCCCCCTTCCCCCGCCAAAATCGATCCTATCAAAGAGCCTGACATTATTTCTTTTATTATCATTGCAACTAAAGTTGATTTCAAAAAATCCAATTTAATACGACCGGTAACATTTATTTAATTCTGCTTCTCTCATTGCAATTGGCTAGTAACAAGTAAGATGGCATGAACTGCTTAAAGATTTTATATCATTTCATCATTGAATTATATATCAAAACAATTATTGCTGTTTTTGAGATCAATGCGATGATTTAGCCACCTTAGATGTACAATATTCATCTCGCCCTTCGGGTTCAGTGAATATTGTACTCCTCAGGTGGCTAAATCAAAAACAGCAATAATAATTGAACGAAATAATTTATCGGCGACAAAATGTGCAAATGTTCAAAGTACATATTGTCGCCGACGACAGTATGTGCCGATGCTTGACTGTACGTTTAATTTATCGTACATTATGCAGAAGGAAAATAAGGAATTGTCGCCGGCGACAAGATGTACCGATGGACGACAATATGTGCAATGGGGGTAGGTACATATTGTCGCCGACGACAATACGAACAGAACGACAATATGTACAGTCACATTCCTTCACAAGAAATAAAATTTGGAATTTGGAAAAATTTTTTACCCCCACCCCCCTCCCCCCAGGTTTCAAAATCGATGCAACGTGCCTGATATTTTTTTTTCAATTGTATTAAAAATACAGAGTCAGAAATTCCAAATTAACACAACTATATAATTATTTTTATTTTATCTTCAGCAATTGTAAACAAGAAAGGTTGCATGTTAGCTTAACAAGTTTGTATTTATTTATTCAATCATTGAATCAAATAATAAACAATTATACAGTTAAACTAATAGGTATCTCGA